TACATGATGAAGCCTTCAGAAATTCCTCCGAAAAAGCAAATCATCTACACAGGGAACAAAGTTAGTCTTGCCCAGCTCTGCTCCTCTCCCCCCACAACATTAAATGCTAAGTGAGCACTGTGGACAGTTCTCAGAACAAATGTGAACGAAAACGCTATTCCCCTCTAACACGTCACGCAAACACTAAGGTTAATCGGCAGACATTCTTAGACAGGAAAAAACTCAGGGATGATAGGACCATGAAACTTGATGAAACTACTTGACTATGAAACCCAGCCAATTAAGAACCAAATCAGAATAAAAACTTTGGGAATGAGGTTGACGTGGTAAGCGCAACATCCGTTAGAGATAGCATGAGTAAAAAATAAAGGTTATGGTGAAAGACAAATTATGACTATCATAAACCTGGACAGGGTAAAAATAATAATACTATCCCAGGCAGAAGGTGGTAAGAAGAGGTGATGGGCCGAAGTACAAGAATATTAAAGTACTCATTGTTCAACCAAAAATCAATTCTGTCCAAAAGTTCAACAATTCCTTCTGTTTCACCCTAGTTTCTTTCATCTGTTGAATTTAAGTAAAATTAACTTAAATGATTTTTCTAAACTAAATACAAATATAGGCTCTAAAGCATTACCCCTTTTTATAAGTCTATCTGGCTTTCCTTTTCTTTTTCCCTTATATCTGAAATGATGTTCACCTTAATGCTATGATGGGGATTTCTGGGTGATGGGATTTGGGATGACTTTAAATGTTTTTACCTCCCCCCACATTATAAATTGTTCACGAGCATATGCCATAATCCAATTTTACAAAAACAACAGAGAAGATTTTCTTTAAAAAAAAAAGATGTTTGTAAATATGCCACAATGTTAATTAACAATGTTAATCCTGGGTGGTAGGAATATAGATATATTTTCTCCTTTGTACTATTTTGTACAGGTGAGGAATGAATGCGAGATGAAAACGGGAATTTAGCATAGCCAGCTGTGGCGGCTTTAAGATGGCCTCACAACCTCTGCCATTGCAAGGTGGGGGTTATTCCCCTCCCTGTGGTTCTGGGCTGGCCCTGGGACCTGTCTTGACCAACAGAGGTGCTGAAGTGCCACTGTGACTCTGCCTGTGGTAGCCTTACGTGTATGTAGCCCAGGTCTGCCTTCCCCTCTTTGAACACTCCCTCTTAGGTGCCAGCTTCCATGGAAAAAGCCTGACTACCCAGACAGCGAGGTCACATGGCGAGGGCCCGGGACCATCTTGGGTGTTGCAGCCCCAGCCAAGCTTCCTGCGGAGTGTAACCCCACGAGCTGCTCCAGTCAAGGCTACACATCGAGCAGAACCACCCAGCCCGTTCCTGCCCGAATTCCTGATGCAAAGAATTATGGGCACTAAACATAGTTATTGCTTTAAACCACCATGTTTTGGGGTGCTTTGTTATGCAGCAGAGACAGCTCTTTTTAGGAGCTTGACTTTGAAGGTAAGAAATGAGCTACAGCAGTAAGTGATAAAGAGGATTTTTTTCCCCCTTCTGGACCTTTTAGGATAGGGTATACTCCAGCATAAAAGATTCACTCATAAGAACGCATTTGTTTCTATAACTCTTTACATTCCAGGAACTTCGTTCTGTGAAAGATCTCGCTTCCTCGTTTCTTAGCAAGGATCGCACCTGCTGCCAGCCTCTGCCATCGCATTTCTCTTCACTTCCACTGGACTCCTTCGGCTGGGGGCCCCTCCCTTTGTACCAAACAACTTTTATTGTTTCTTATTGTAAAAGTGATGTTATAATTTAAAATATAGAGCCAAGATAAAAGAATAAAGTTACCACAAATTCCATCACTCAGAGATATCTACCAGTAAAATTTTGATACGGTTCCAGTCATTTTTCTCTTTATGTGTACTTTTATATGCAAAAATGACCTCATGTGTACAAAATGTTCTGTGAACTGTATTTTCATTGCAAACTATCTTGTGAACATTTTCAATATCCTTAAATATCTCCTTCTCCAGCATCATTTTCAATATTGCATTGTTTTTAGTTTATGTGCTAAAAATAAAATATAGAAAGGAGATAGAAAATGCTGGTATCGTGGCAGCCAAGCACGATAGGAGCTCAATAAATCGTTACTGGATAAATGAATGAGTGCTGGAATGAACATCTGTTTGGCTAGCTAAAGCTCAGTGCAACTTTTTCATGGCCGCCTCAGGGCAAACTCTAGAAATGGGTCAAATGGCTAGGCAGATTCTCAAATTTAGCGGCAATAGGTATAACCAAATTATCCTCCAGAAATGTTTTATCAAGTTACTACACCAGACTGGTGGCCCTCTGAGTGAATGGAATAGCAGACTACTTTCTACGTCAGCCTTTCTCTAAAGAATTACTTTCATGAAAGCTCTGTGTATCCACAGAAACACTGTGAGCTCTGGCAGGGTGAGGACCAGGTTCGCTCTCATCTCCATTCTCCATCCCCAGCTTGGGAGCTCAGGTCCTCATCAACCCAGAAAGTGGCATGAAGGACCTTTCACGGTTAGCGTGCATGCTGTTTTTAGAGAACTATTTAATACTAATATTTAATTCCAGTAATATTTAATGTTACAAAATATTAGGTACACATGAGCTTGTTTTGATACATATGCAGACAAGTGTATTTGGTTTCAGAAAACCACATACAAGCCTCACAGTGACTGCATCTCTCTCTGAGTATCTCTATCTATGTATCCATGTGTATAAAATGCTCAAATATAATTAGAACTTCCATATCAAACAGCTGTTGCGAAAGTGCTATTACGACTCAGGCCGACAGGAAATGAGAGTGAGGACATCCAGGTTCACTTGTGCACTTGGTCACTGACTCACTTTTATACACAGAATGTAGAGACCGAGGTTATCAGGTGTAATAGTTCATAGCTGAGACTTTCAAGGCAGAAAGACTGTTACTTGAACCTGGCTCTGCCAGGTATTTAGCAGCATGACCTTGGGTCGGTTACTGAACCTCAGCGCCTCAGTTTTCCCACGTGTAAGACAGGGATGACAGATCCTCATAAAGATTACTGAAAGGCTTGAATGAGATAATGGAACATGAGATGAATGAGACTATTTGGCAGAGAGCCTGGTACATAGTACATGTTGAATAAATACCAGTTATTATTCTTATTATTTTTTATGACCTAGTCTGGAAAAAAAAGAAGGAAACGAGTGCTAATTAATTAATTATCATATGTAGGTTAGTAAAAATAAAAAATATTATTCACTTTATACATAATCTAAGTGAGTTAAGCAAAACTGAACTATATCTTGTCTACACTATAATTTTAATTATTTTCAGGTACCTGTGGTACCTATGTTTGGAGGTCGTAAATTACGTATATTATATGTTAGAATATATTATATATGTTTATACACACACGAACATACACATACTGCCATCTTTTTTGTTGGAAATTAGGATCAGAATGGTTTTCCCTTTCAACATGTAAATGAATTAAACTGCAAAAATAAATAATTAAAAATAGGCAGTTATATTAATTATATTTCTTTCCAGATTTTTTTACTCTTTAAGAAACAATACTAGAAGCTATGTTGTTATGAAGTAAATTTATGTTTTCCCTTTTTGCTTCTATTGGGATTCAATTACTTATTTAAAATTCAAAAATTACCTACCACTTGGTATTTGGACATCACTGGAAAAGAAATTCACTTAAAATGAAAGCTTTATAGAACTAAAAGAATTTAAACAAAGTATTCAACTCAGTTCACGCAAAGCAAAACAGTTATATAGATCAATGAGTACTGCCTGTGCATTTAGAAATGAAAAGAGCTTCAAAGATGTCTCTAAATTACCAAAATATGAAAAGGAACCATCTCTTTTGGTCTCACATCAAATATGGGGGGTGTGGAGGGGGGCTCACAGATGGAAATATACAGGGAAAATCTCATTAATAACAAAATAAGTCCCACCCTCTAAAGTGTGGAGGCTGGATATAATGGCCTCCCAAGGTGTTGTCCATATCTTAAAGCTTTTTATTCTATTCAGCGTTATCCAGGCTTAAAGGATATATAAAAAAAGCCACTTCCGTTAATACTAACTTTCCCTGAAATCACTCAGATTGCCTATGATAGGCTATAGAAAAGAATGATGGAGGGGTTTGGCAGATAAGGGCAGTGATAAAACACAAATGTTTCTTTTATTTTTCTTTGCTTTCTATGATTACTCTAAATGCTTTAAGCATTATTATAACAGAGTAAAAGCACTGAAAAATAATCTTTTGCTGGGAATTCTTTAAAAAAATTTTTGTTCTCTTTTAAATCTTATTTATAAAGGTTTCCAGATGCTTATCCTCACAGATTAAACACAGCATGATGTAGACACTTACAATAATATTCGCTGTTAGGAAGCCAAGAAAAAACCACTTGGAGATCTGACTGCCTATCACCCAAGAAATCGGGGTCCAGGGAACTTTCTGTTGCTGTTAAAGGTGTGATTCTCTGAAGCCGTTTGGAAACGGCCGAGGTTCTCAGCAGCAACTCATCTACCCTGTACTGTGTCAAAGCACATCAAATGGTTGGCATTCCAAACCTCAAACAGGTTATTTCTCATTATGTGAATACATAATGAAAGGATGTGGGCAAAGACGAGAATGTAAATTGGAAGCTGACTTCTGAAGTTATTAACCAGCAGTCCTGGGCTGGAGCAGTCATTCTAATTTCAAGAGACAGTTCCAAAGTGGTTCTCAAGAGAGAGGACAGGGTATTTTTCAAATATTTGTTCAACGTGAATGGACTGGGCTTGCCAAAAATGACTTTGTATGCTGGCATGCGATCTCTTACAGGGAAGTCAGTCTGAGTCACTGGATACATCAAAGGTAGAGTCCGGTGAATGGAATTACTGCAGGCTGTGTGAACAAGCCAGATACCTGCATTCATCTGCCCACTGCTGGGGTTGCGGCCCTCCTTTTAATTACATTAAAGCAGCTGGTACCACTGGTTACTGAAGTCTTCAGATTACCTTGATTGCTCGGTCATTATCTCTAATCAGCTGCTGCTTCTCATCTTCAAACTTCTGTATCACATCCTGCAGCCGCCTTTCTGCAGCACGCCGCTGCTGGCTGCTCTCCTCTTTCAGAGAGGAAATGGTTGTCTGAAGTTCTGCTATGATCTAAAATGAAAACAGCATGCTGGAGATTCACATTCTTCAGGGCGAGGCATCTATTTTATATGTATTTATGCTTCACAAAAGAATAGATTTGGCAAAACTCAATTCAACAAACTAAACACGTTCAATTAACATACCCCACACGATAACGCATGAAATTCCACACAATAAAAGGCTGTAATAAAACTGTGAGTGGTGAAGAACTGCTGAACCAAACATATTTGGAAGGCATCTCCACTATAACATTCCACGATATTTACTCATCAGAAGAACATCTGTGATCTCCAAAATATGAAACACGTCAGATTTTATTTTACCGAGAAATATACTTATTAGAATGAAAAAAGCTATTTTGCCTTTTATAATACTTTGAACTGTAATAAGCAAAGAAAAGAACAAGCAGAGTTCATTCTTCATCGTTACCTAATTCCACACAGTGATTTTGGAGCACTCACTAATTTTCTTGCATAGGGCTAAGCACTTTAAGCTCCCATGTCATTCACGATTGGGAGACAAGCATTATTATCGCCTATCTTTTATTAATGGAGAAACAGAGGCATGGAGAGAGGTCGCGTATTTTACACTGTGGAAGGTGACATCCCACCAAGGGGACAGGCGGGATTTGAACCATGCAGCCAGATGAATCGTTGCACTAATGGGTTCCTCTAATTAGTCTACTTTTTCTTTTAAACAAGGTTTTACAAGGAAGAGAAGTTTATTCTGACATAGTTCCAAATAGGTTGCTTTCTTCCTAAGTGATATATATCCATGAAAGTCTATTTGGGCCCAAAAAGTGTCATTTCAGAGGCTCCTTAAGTAGTCTCTACATTTGAGAACCGGTTCTCTCCATGACTTGGTTCCCCCGCAGATCCCCAATCATCTGATGGGGGACCTTTGAATTTAACGGGTTTACTGACAGCCTTGCTTTTCCTCTGGTTTGGATGCATCCACTTCCTTTCAAATTCAATAGTGATGACTTTTTAACAGCAGGAAATGGTTGTTTCTTCTAATAAAAGAAAGAACCTTAGTCCTGGGTTGGAATCTAATTCTGTTGGTTCTATGGGACGATGGTGGTTGGTGATAAATATTGGACAAGTTATTCATTGTCCTCCAAGCTCAGTTTTTCCAACTACTATTTGATGACAAAATTAGATTACAGCATTATAGGGCAATAGATAGAAACTTTCTGGAATCTCCCAGAAGCTAAGTCCTATAAAAATATTAGTTGTTGCTATTGACATGAACAGTAGCATATTTACAATAAACTATGGAGTATTTATGTTTTTAGAAGTGAGCAAACACGCTGTAACAAAGTTTCACATTTAGATTTGTAAATAATCAAATAATAATACAACTGAGGAATAACGACAAAATACTTAATAGCAGTAAGTTAATATTTTTAAATGCAAACTTGAACCTTTTGCTATGGGTAGAGGAATTCATTTGCTGGGAATGAAGATGTTGTCATCTGTGTTTTGAATTTGATTAAATGTTTCCATTCTAGCATCAACTCCATTAATTCTCATAGCACTTCTCGGAAATAGGGAAGGTTACATTCTTATAGAAGTGTCAAAATCCGAGGCACAGAATAATCGACTCACTCACAGTCACAGGGCAAGAGGAGCCCGAGATAAGAAAGAGCCAGATTTCCTTGGCCCAGCATGAAACTTAAGATTGGTATTTTGTAAGAACACGGGGCCAAACAGTAAAAATAACTTACTCTTTTAATGACTACTGCAGTGCTTCAAGTTGATGAAATTACAATTTCGTATACGTGGTGAGTTTAAGTCTATAATATGTTCTGTGTGTGTGTGTGTGTGTGTGTGTGTGTGTGTGTGTGTGTGTGTTAGTTCTATGCAATTTTATCACATGTGTAGATTTATATATTCACCACCACAATCATGCAATACATTTTAAAGTATAAAGTGATTTTGTCTCTTCAAAAAATAGTAAGATTTAGATTAGCTTTATAACTGACTGAAGATAAAAATATTTTGAGGGTCTTCAAATGACCATGAGGGCATGAAACAGGGATTTCTCATTTTCAGAAGATTTATGACAAGAGTGCATCAGAAAGAAATCATACAGGTTTTGGAGGGAACTATAAGCAAAGTCCAGGATGTTCGGAGGACAGCATACTTGCTTTTGGGTAGAAAATGAAACCTTACATTCTTTGTGGGGATAATAAGATTCTTTGGGGGAAACAATGAGAATCTCTTTGGGAAGTTATTTTGAAAACTTATGAAGATGATATAGGGAGTGCGTCAAAACACTAAGGTGAAATACCTTGAATAGATACATAAATAAATTGGTAGATAGACTGATAGATGGAGAGAGAGAGAGATGGCTAAAATATGGATAATTTTTAAAAACAGATTTGAGATTTACTTTAAGGTTGAAAAATAATCATACTAACTAGATTAATGTGCTTTAGGTAAGGACTAAAACTAAGCTGTAGATATTGAGTATAAGACAATAATGTCATCTTAGCTCAGCACACATAACTGGGACTCAATAAATATTGAAGTAATGGAACTATAAGCATAGTAAATTTAAAAAATACCTGAAATATTATATTGAGATAATCTAGCCTTTGCTAGAATAATTAATGTAAAAAGTTTCTGAGAAAAATGAAAACTAACCTATACAATCATAATCAAACCCCACCCGTTTTCATTGAATCATAATTAAAAACCATAAAACGAAATGCATTCAACTACATGTTTACCCTGTATTAGCTTCAGAGAAAGAAGTGGATTAGAGCTTTTCCATATGACTATTAAAAATTAATATTTTGGGGAAAAAAAGGAGAGCTATTTTGGGCTGATGCTGTAAACAACCTAACTCATGAAAACTATAATAGGTATTAATTGTTGTTAAACAACGAATACTTCGTGTATTTGTTAGTGGTCTTATTAGGTCTTAAAAATAACAGGATTCTAAATACAGGTTAAGATTTCATCTTTAGCTCATTCTGTTGTTTTTCAGATCATAGTACAGTTTGAGATTTTTATAAAGCTCTTCTTAAAAACACAATGGACAAGGGAATATAATACTTGGGAAGGCTGGTGACCACTGCCTCATAAAACAAGTGGGAGAGTGGCTCCTCAGCACCGCTGGCATTCTGGGTGGCCACTCTGGAGAGTGACATGAAGGCTGGGGGTAGGTGGGGCACGCGGAGCATGCCGGGGTCTCAGGTATGTGGGAGCGAGTGTGGGGAGGTGGCCCCGGCAGCGGTGGGCTCTGCTGGCATTCCAGCTTAGTCTTTTGCACTGCTACCTGTGCTCCTGCAAATGGCAATATCTTTCTTTGACAAATGGCCACCAAGTGAGTCAGGTGAGTGGGAGAAAACCGCATTAAAACGGAAAGGCAAGGTTACTAAATAATATTAAGATAAGAAGAATAAATGTGTGATTCGGATAGAAGGACATTTGGGAGCATGCCCACGGATGATGCAAACACGCCATCATGAGGGACGTGAATCCCACGAGGGGCACAGTCCTGGGTACGGCAAGGGACTGGAGTACATGGTCTATTAGGTCCGAGAAGCTTGATAAAATCTTAAAGATTAAGTAACTCCCTTTAAGGGAAAAAATATTTAAAATGTTTTCCAAATTTAACCTGATGATCTCTTGGGTACTAAGGCCTTCATTACTAATGCATTCATCTTACTACTTGTTTTTTTAGAGAAAGATTTCAAAAAGCTTAATAAACAGTTAAGCAGCTTTGCTTCTGGCATTCTCCTCAGTTTAGCTATGAGTTACAGATTCCAGCAAACTATCGCTGGAAAACAGAAAATGTCAATCCATGGTTCTGTTTTATAATGTTCATTTCTAAATAATGTGCTTCTCTGAACTGACTTGATTGTCAACCACTGTTTCTCGTATTTAGAGGTGGGCAAACAAAATATTATCAATGTGAGGTTGTCAACCTCCCATTTATGAGAAGGATGGACTATGTTTTATGGTGTCATTATACCCTTCTAAGACTTTTTGTTTTTCTTTTTGGTGTCGCACCGTCCTTTCCCTTATGAAAGGATAGTTACAGTACACGACAGTTGTGACTAATTGGTTTTTCCTCCTCCTCCTCCTCCTCCTTCAGGTCTTTGCTTGCGAAAATATTTAGCAACCCTATGCCTCTCCAAGTTCCGGAGGGAGATTTTATCAATTCTTAAATACCCAACAATAAGTCCATTAAAAATAAATAATTTCTTGCTCTTTCCATTCCTTTTTTAGTCCTCACTCCCTCCTTTCCTCTCTCGATTGCAGTTTTAATACTACTATTGAGAGTTAACAGTTGCCTTACTAGGTACCAGGCTCTGTACTAAGCACTTTTTTGGCATTGTGCTATTTAATCCTTAAAACTATTCTATGAAGTAAGTCTTACTCCCCCACTTTACAAATGAGGAAATTGAATTCCAGAGAAGGCAGGTAACTCGCTCAAGGTTTTATGAGTGGTAGGGCTGGTATTCAAATTCAGGTGGGCTGGACTCCAGAGCTCAGGCTTTCTTCCATACTTAGATTTAATTTGCTCTAATATGAACTAATCAGGCTTCTTCATACATTCCTTTAGATAAACTTAAATACTCCTGTTTACACTCTCATTATTTAAGCATATTTTGGTTAGCTATCTTATATCTCACTTTCGGTTTGCCTCCCCCATTTAACATAAAGCAAAATAAGCAAAACGCAAGGGTATGCCAGCTGAGGATTTTCCATGTTTTAGTTTAAACTTTAACGTTTGGGATAACAAGATTTCTTTTGATTATAAGACTCTTTCTCAGTGGATTAAAAAGGATATTCCCTATGTTCTTTCCTCAAGGAAGTCCTGGGATAATGGCAGTCAAGATGATCACCTTTTAAATACACACACGAGTCTTCACTCAAAGACTTTCTGCCTTTCTAATGGGATGTGGATTATATAACATACACACGTTTTAGAAATAACTGTAGAATCTAAGAAATTTTGTGATTATTCCCACCAAAGTTTTGCCATATTAAAAGTGTGAGGAATCGGGCCTGCCTTGGGGCAGCAAGGTTAAGAGCTTCCATGCCAAAGTCATGTCCAGGTTAGGTCCCAGCTTAGTTATTTGCTCATTTGTGTGACCTCACTTTTCTGCGTCTTCGTTTCTCAACTGGAAAAATGGGACCAATAATAGTTCCTAACTCCAGAGTTATTGTGAATGAAGACTGAATGAGTCAATATGGTTAGTGCCCCATAAAATTCTTGATTTTATTATTGTTTTGTTGTGTTGCTGTTACTACCACTGTGTGGTAACTCATAAAATGGTACGTACATTTCAGTTTCGTACCACATATTACATGTACGTGCAAAAACATTAAGAAAAGCTGATTTTAACAGTCATTAAGAAAAGCTGATTTTAACAGTCATTAGTTATGATGTTCATTAAATTAAATGGCTTAATCTATCCACCTGTAAAATGATAATTAGTATCTATTTATTTAGAATTACTCATACAGCTAAGGAATGTTTGGGATTCCCTAAATGATGCTATAGGATGTCATTATAACAACTTATGCAGAAAAAGCACTCTAAGCATCATGGCAAGTAGAGACAAACATTCAATTATTGGTCTTTTTTATAGTAAAACTATTATAGTGACAACATACAGCAAGATATGGGCGTGGGCACTTACAATTCTGTTTCCCCAAAGGAGTCAACAGCTGAATGGCTAATTTAACGCAGAATATTTGTTATTTTGAATTTTGTCATTGCAGCAAAATGGAATTAGTGCAAAGAAGCGCAGATGGTATCTGACTGCTTACATCATCGATGGAGGTGTGTCTCTCCTGCCCTTGTGACATGTGTTTCAGCTTGTTCAAGTGCATGGGCTAGTTTTACGACATCTGATTGTGCGTGTGTGTGTTCAAATGGTTCAATATGCCTAATTAAAAAATTTTAAATAAATATTAAAAGCATATATTATTTATCCATATACCTATCAAGATGTGATACGAATCTATAAGAAACTGAAGAGAATAAGTTGAAACCTAAAGTTCAAATGCTTTTCTGTAGGTTTCTTTTTTGTTTGTTTTGGTTTCATTTCTTTTCTTTTCACGTCCTTACCTGAGAGGATTTGGCAAGCTTCTGGGTATATTCCTTCTCAATCTGCTTCAGCCTGCCGTTGGCCTGAAAAACACACGAACACACACACACACACAGTGACCTGTGAGCTTGTATCTCTTCCACATGCCTATCACCAGGCAGCTGGGACGGCTGCCAGCTGCACCGCCCCTCTGGAGCAGCCAGAAAACCACAGGGCTTGGCTTTGATCTAACGCCAACTATTCATCACTTAAAAAGCAAAAAGCAAAAGAAAAAAAAAAGATCTCTCCTGCCAATTATTAGACAAACACAGACTTCTGTGGAAAGAGAAAGGGAGAAGGAGATAACAGAAATAGACACAGCACAAGTGTGAAGGCTCGGAAGGTAAAATGGGGAAAGGGAGAGGAAAGAAAGAAGAAAAAGAGAAAGGAAGGGGGGAGAGGAATTGGAGGAGGAACAACATAGGGTCCTCTTTCCCCTGGTTTAAAGAGAAAAGACATAGATACTCCTGGAGAGAGCACATACGGGATGCTTGGACTCACTGAGCAGAGTTGAGTCCCCACTCTGCCTAACACACAGGAACTATTTTTGGAAGTGACAAATATATCTAAATCAAACAATTTTTATGTTCTGGAAGTGGGGTGGCCTTGCCAGGATAAGCCCATGACTGAAACTCGTTTACATCCTTTGCCCCTCGAGTTCCGATCCTTTGTATGTGGCCTGCTTTCCTGCTCTCTGGAAGCCTTTGGCATCTTCCCTTTGTCCTTAGTGTTGGAAGTGTCACAGGGACAGGCCCTAGACTGGGCCTTCTGCCCCCCATTGTACAGGCACTAAGTCGGCCCTTTCAGTCTGAGCTGTGGCTTTCGTCTTAGAGGAGGTTTTGGTCACTACTTTCTTCACCCCCCCCCCCCCCCCCCCCGCCGTGTCTGTCTCTCTCTGTCTCCCTCCCTCTCTCCTGTCTCTCTCTCTGCAGCGCTCTGATTGTTGGACCTCTGAGGTTTATCAGCTCTTTTTCTTATTGTTTCTGTTTTCCATTTCTTTGTCTTTTTGATCTTTTGTAGAGATGTCTCAACTTTCAGTTTTAAACTTGCTACTGGATTTTAAAAAAATTCTGCCATACTATTTGTAATTTCCAAGAGATTTTTGTTGTTGTTGTTGTTCTCTGAATAGCATCTCCATCCCCCCTTTTTATAGATGAGGAAATTGAGGCACAGAGAGGTTAAGTAACTTGCCCACACAGGTAAGAAGTGATGGAGCCAGGCCTCAGTCCTGAAGAGTAGAGCATGGGTGCTTTACCAGCTAGAGGATACTGCATAATGCCAGTCAATATAGTCCCTAGGTTATTACCCATATACATCTATATGTCTATAACACACACACACACACACACACACACTTAGATTTCATGTCTGATCTCTAGAATGTCTGTTTTTCTGAGTTCCTTTTATTTGCTTTGCCAGCCTGGTTTGGTCTCTGCTTTTCACTTGAGATACTTTCCTCAATTGCCTGGTGCTCTTTGGTGTTCTTTCTTATTTCAAGTCAGGCAGGCTCAGGGATAGGGGGAGATCATCACGGGGCGTCACAAAGGAGCCTGGGCTTTCTCCTGCCAGCGTCTGATGGAACATTCCACTTGGACCATTTTTCCCAGAGATGCACCCTCCACTTAACCTACTGCCTGGCAGCACAGATCTGGCTGCCAACGTTTTCAGGAGGGCACACAGGTGCTCAGGGTATTGACTCTTGCACAAACCACTGCACTCAGCTGTGCCTGGGTCCCTCTAATTCCATCTCTCCAGAGAGCAAATCGGGTGGGGCAGGGCTGGACAGCGAATAAATTCATATGTTGAAACCCTAATCCCAGTGTATGGTACTTGGAGATGAGGTCTTTGGGAGGTAACTGGGTCAGGGGGTGAAGCCCTCATGAATGGGATTAGTGCCCTTAGAAGAAGAGGCCAGAGACCTAGCAATCTTTCTGCCATGCAAGTATCCAATGAGGTGACTGCAGTCTGCAATGTAGAAGGGGCTCTCACCACACAGCAAAACTTGACCATCCTGATAGAACCTGACCATCCTGATAGAGCCTGACCATCCTGATAGAACCTGACCATCCTGACAGAGCCTGACTGTGCTGATAGAGCCTGACTGTGCTGATAGAACCTGACCATCCTGATAGAACCTGACTGTGCTGGCGGAACTTGACCGTGCTGATAGAACCTGACCATCCTGATAGAACCTGACCATCTGATAGAGCCTGACCATCCTGATAGAACCTGACCATCCTGATAGAACTCGACCATGCTGGCAGAACTTGACCATGCTGGCACCCTCATCTCAGACTTCCAGCCTCCAGGACAGTCAGAAATAAATTTCTGTTCTTGATAAGACACCCAGTTTATGGTGCTTTGTTATAGAACCCAAGCTGCTTAAGACAATAGTCATGTTTTTTTATGGACTTAAGTTCAAAAGCAGTTCTTTAGAGTTTATTTCATAAATCTCTCTACATCTACAATCCCACTGAGTACACTGGGTAGTTTTGTTTTTCGAGAATAGAGAAGGCATGTGACTACTGTTATCTTTTCTAGTAAGCCATCAGACCATAATATTCTAGCTCTATAATTAATGTCCAATATAGAATATATAGAATATATTATAGAATATATATAATGTCCAATATAGTTATATATAATATAACTGTCCAATATAGAATTAAGGCCACTCTGAACCTCTCAAGGTTTATTTGTCTTGATTCACATTTTACCAATATTTTTTAGATCACAAAGTGCTTGTCCATCTAATAAATACTTACAGAGCTCTTACCATGTGCCAGGGACTGTTTGTTGTGTTTCAAAAATATTTACTCACTAGGAAATATAAAAATTATAGTGTCATAAACATTAAGTTAATTTTCCCTAAAAAAGCTGGAGTCAGAGGAGCTGGTTAGTGCAGGACAGCCTGTGTCTCAGCTGCAGTCCTCTTCATGAGCCTGTGGCTAGCCAGCCCAGAACCCCACAAACTCAAATAAGTTCCTTTACAGCTAACTATCCAATTCATTCATCCACTGCAGGTAATCGGGACTAGAGCAGTGAACAAAACAGACAAAAAATATCTCCCTACCTTTTTGGAACCTCTATCCTAGAGAGCAAACACAATAACTTATAATATGTTAGGTAGTACAAGTGTTATGGAGAGGATAAAGCAGGAAAGAGAGATAAGTGATGAAAGGTAGGGGGTGGTTCACAATTTTAAAATATGAAAGTCAGGGAAGGCCTCACTGGATGATACGTGAGCAAAGGCCTGTAGGGGATGAGGGAGCCATGGTGAACTCTAGAGAAAGAGCATCCAGGCAGAGAGAGCGAGCTAATACCAAGGCCCTGAGGCCGGCAGAGCGTGCTCAAGGCACAGGGAAGTGGCCAGTGCGGGTAGACCAGTGAGCAACGTCCCCCTGGGACAAGGTGAGGTCTGAGCGAGGACAAGCGGCCAGATCCTGCATGGAGTTGTACACCACTGTGAAGGATGTGGTTTCTAATATGAGCGATGAAGAGCCCTGAAGAGCTTTCGATACAGGAGGCGCGTGGTTTAATGTACGTAGTCATACAATCACTCTAGCTCTTGTTTGGGGCAAGAGTCAAGCTGAGAAGCCAGTTGAGCGTCTATCACAAATAATCCAGGATGGTAACAGAGGAGGTGATGAGAAGTAGTCAAGATTTGAAAGTAGATCCAGTTGGATCTGCTGTACGATACAAAGAAAGGAATCAAGGATGACTTCAAGATTTTTGTCCCAAGCAACTAGAAGAATGGGGTTGTCATCATTAGCTCACGTCAGAAAAACTATGGATGGGACAGGTTTTGGGGGGAAGATCAAGTTCAGTTTTGGACACACTAAGCTTGGAGATGCCTGCTGGACATGTGTGTTGAAAAGCATATTTGGATATTTGAGTCTGGAGTTCAGGGGACTGGTCTAGGTTAGAAGCATAAATTCAGACCAGTATCTAAATGGAATATAGAACTATGCTACCGGATGAAAATGCAAGGCATCGAGTGTATATAAAAAGAGAAGGTGAATTATCCTGAGCTGGGCCTGCAAATGTCAGGAGGCTAGAGATGAGGAGGAAAGCAAGCAATGCCCAGGGAGATAAGAAAGGATAATACGGAAACTTGAAGTCAAGTAAAGAAAGTGTTTCAAGAACTATTCAACTGCTACAGCTGTGTCAAATGCGACAGAGAGGTCCTGTAAAGTAAGGGCTGAGAAACGACCACATGGCTTAAACACGTGGGGACACTGGTGATTTGGATAAAAGAAATTGTGGTGTAGCAGCAAGGATGAAAGCTGGATTAGAGGGAGCTCGAGAGTTAGGAGGGGAACTGGAGCAGATACAAACAGTTTGTTCAGAGTTCTGTTATAAAGGGAAGGAGAGAAATGGGCTGGAAGCTGCATGCAAGTGGCTACAGAAAGAGCCGATTTGTTTGTTGTGTTTTTTGTAAGATGAGAGAACTAAGAGACTGAGTGGAGGCTGATGGGAAAGATCTGGCAGGAGAGAGGGAAAAAGAGACGATGCCAGAGATGTGCTGGAGATAGGTCCCCGGGTGAAGGAGGGGTGGGAACCAGAGCACAGGCGGGAGGGGATGGCCTTGGCTGGAAGGCGCAGGTAAATCACCCTCAGCAACAGTGGTGGAAACTGCTGATTAAGTCCATCTGCTCCATGAAGAAGAAAGATTCATCGGGTAAGCAAGAGTGAGGGTGGCAGGAAAGACTGTGGGAGGTTTGAGGTGTGAGGAAAGGACAGGACTAGTCCTAGGAAAGTGGGAGGGGGTGAGGAGTCCCAGGACTGCAGGAAGCATTCTGGGCCACTTGAAATTACCAACACTGAATTTAAGCGAGACCAGATGGTGACATGCGAAAGCCTCTAGAACTTGGAATTGGTGAATGGAGCAGAATCAATACTCTGGAGAATAATGAGAGTAATGGAAGAAACAAAATTAATTAACAACCTTCAAGGTTTTTATGTATTTGAACCTAAGTCACAGCTGCCTGCATTTCTGAACTTCTCAGATAAATCTACAAGACCCTGGTTTAGCATGGTTGAA